GATATTCTGCCAACCTAGATAATATCTGCCTATCTTTCATGAAGTCAGCAATAGTCCACAAAAACATCAGCCAAATAACTTGTGTTAATATTCAAAGCATACTTGGTTTCCAGATGTTGTTGTACACCAGTTCTAGAGGCCCCGAGATTGGGAACCAATGTTTTTTGTTTATTTTTCAATACCAGTCTACCATGGTTAATGCTACCTTTATCAACATAAAACTGCATCAATAGCATACCATACCAGCTGGATTCTTATAATTAATCCTGAAATAACATTTGTAGATTTAGATTGCTATTGTTAAAGCTACTTCCTACAAATAATAAAAAATATTCAATCAGAATTTAGATGCCACAGCTATTACTTTGAGTGATTGAAAATGTTTTGATATATGTTTAAAACTTTTTCTAACAGTTTTATTATTGGTTGCCGGGATTTTTTAAGCCTATGGTAAAATAACTTTCTCCTTTAGTTATTGCAGAAATGGGTAAATGAACACCAAAGTGTTCTAGGTTCTATGCTCATTTCACTTGTGGATACATGCTAACCATTACTCAGAAAGTGGTTAGGATATATAAAACTCAGCTGAGAATGTTTCATCCATATTAAAACAAGAGTTTCTCCAATCCAATATAACAACTAAACCTCTGTAATACCTTTCTCATTGGACTCAGGAGTGGCAATCTGTCTAGTGTTCAGGAATTGCACGGGACTCTCATACACTCAGAGGATCCCACCTCCCCTCAATTGAAAAAAATTCCCACATTTCACTCAAAATGCTTCTGAAACATCTACTGGTAGTGGCAGCTATTATTCTATGCTCCATACCTAGGGTACCCTGTCTGAACGTATCTCTTCCTATGAATCATCTAGGAGCTTAAGATCATCTGGGGAGGCCCTGCTCTCGATCCCGCTTGCCTTGCAAGTGTAATTGGCAGAGACGAAGGACAGTGCATTCTCAGTGGTGGCCCCCCAGCTATGGAACTCCCTCCCCAGGGATATTAGATTGGCCCCCTCCCTCCTGACTTTCCAAAAAAAAAAAAGTAAAGACCTGGCTCTTTGAGCAAGCTTTTGAGAAGGCAGTGGAATAGATAACACAGAACTATGAATGATGGAATGGCCAGACGATGTTACTGGATAACATTTTTAACAAGATGAYGCAGATGATTTTATGCTTTAAGCGTTTTTATTTATGTTATATATTATAATGTTGATTGTTTTTAATGGCACTTTTATGAATGCCTGACATCAAATTGTGCCAATCTGTAACCCGCCTTGAGTCGCCGTATGGCTGAGAAAGGCGGGCTATAAATATCGTAAATAAAATAAAATAAATATTTTTTCCCAAACCATAAATCAGAGTATATCTTAAAAGGGGGGCTTTGCTTGGGGCAAAAGTAACCAGTGGGTAAGGAACCCATAACTAAATAAAGCAGAGTATAGTTACTGATGGTGACGGAAAGCAGGCGAGAGGAGCTATCACCCCCCATACAAGACTTGGAAACCCACTTGGGGCTGCTTCAAGGGTGAAGGGTAATGGATAGGCTAGCCGAAGAAGCAAGACATGCAAGTAAGTTATTCTCTCATTTGGTTTTTGCATTGGTACTGAAACACCAGCACACTTTGAATGTTGGACAATGTTCTTGGTGAGCTTTGTCATGTAAGAAGAACGGTCCAATCAAGGAACATTTTCTCAACGAGAGACAAACCATCTTTCGATAGGTATTATGTACATACCAATTTAAGACAACCTCCTGTTGTTCAGAGGTTAAATTCATGTTAAAAGGCAAAGTTTATTTAAGTTCCAAGTGAAGAACTGATGAAAATCTATGTAATAAAAAGCAAGTGTAATAATCCCAATGAGCACATTTTTTTTAAAAAAAAGTGTTACCAGAACAAATTAGTTTTCAAATGTGCAAATGCTTTCTTGATAACGTAAACACACACTCAACACTTGTATTTCAAGATGTATTTATCTTAATCTGCTTAATACTGGACTGGCAGCATTTCAACTGCTTATCAAAGAATGTAATTTCCCACTAATGCAATTTCCCCTACTCGGTTTAGAGGATGAAGCCAGTGTGCTCGCTATCCTGGAACTATATGACAAGGATTGTGGAGTGAGGGGGTGTAACTCCAAGCCCGTTTATGGCAGTTCAACCCCCACTCCTCCTTTTTGGATCTTGCCTGTCCCCTATTTAGGGCTAGTTTTTTGGGGGCTGGGGCAGGGGGAGATACGAGTCGGTGAGCACCTTCCAGCACATATGATAAACAATGGGGATGTGGAAATGCCCCAGAGTATCATGTATTCAAGATGTTGGGGGTAAATCTCCTGTCCTTGAGGCTGCTCTCTGTTCCTTACTAGGGGTCACATGCCTTGAGGGTTTACACCTCTCGCCAGCCTTCCTGTTTTCATAGCCGGTCTGGGAGTGTTCAGGGATTTTTTGCCATGGGGATGGCTGTAGTGTGCGTGTGTAGACCTACCACTCCCAAACTAGTTTTCTCCCCCCATTTAAGCTTTGTGCATCATCAATAAACTTTACATAGGTATCAATGAATAAAGTTGCCCTTATTAGCCCAAATCTCCCATCTGGTGTCTTTATTCCTTTGGTGAGGAAGCAATCTCAGTGTATCAGGACAAGGCATTTTAGCCTCATAGAAACACATTTTGTTGTTGACAGCACACAGAATCAGACCTACAAATGTAAGCACTCCGTAGTCTTGTTTCTGGGTAGTTGTAAATGATTCACCCCCAAACTTCCTGACGTGCATACTTTTTAACAGAAAAACAAACAATGAAGACAAGCAAGGTTCAAAGCAAAGCCTTTGGCTATTGGGATGCTTTTTTGTCTGAGCTAATGCAACACACTGAGACTATAAAAAATCTATTGTTTTCCAGCACATCATGTTGCAGCAAAGTAGTTGATAAAAACATGGTGCCACTTAGGGCAAAGGGAGTAGGCTTGGAATTCTCACTGTGAACAGTTACACCACAACATTAGCCCTAATCGTCTATATCCGGGAATTTTCATTGGGTTAGACTACATACCACAAATTACCATTGATTTTTTTACAATCCTGATGCATAAGGATTAAATTATTTGAAGATTTGTGGTGTGAACGTCAATTGGAAACAATGTTTTATGTACCCAAACCCCCCAATAGGTCATGCAACAGATTGCTCAATCACAATGAACTAAGCCAGTGTCTGGTACTGAAGAAAATGCTTTTGTTTACAAGGGTGTGGGGAGGAAAAGAAGAAGAAAAAACACTTCAGAAGACCTTTATATGCAGTCAAAATCCAGTCAGGAAAGCTTTATTTGAAACAGACTCTGAGACTAAGACAATTCTTGCTTGTTTTTAATTATGCTCATCTAATTAAGCTCATTCCAGCTTTATCAAAACAGCTAGAAGAGTTTTTCACTTTATTGAACTTTTAGTTTTTCTCCCTAGTACTAGAAGTGCACCAAGAAACTCTACAGCACGTTCGCTAAAGGGATTCCAGGATGTTTTCTCTTATTATTGTCTGTGCTTAAATAAACTTTACTAGGCTATAAAACTGCAAGTAAGAAATATACAGTAATTTTACCTGTAACATAATTTGATAATTTATCATATGCTATCAATATTGCAAGAGCTCATCACATACAACATTTAAAAGAACACCTGCAAAAATGCTTCAGGATTCAAAATTATCTACGCCTAAATTCATTCCCAGATACAATCTGGTTCTTTAGGTTAGTTTTATGAAAGAACATATTGGTCTACTGACATGAATAACAGTGTGGCCCAAACAGATTAATCTAGATTTTTCACCTTTATGAAGTACTTAGTCAACAACCAAAAGCGAGATACAGTCAGTGGAGAAAACGGGCACAGAATAGTTCACATTGGAAGGATATGACATCAAAGCTGAAGAGTGTGACTGATCGCAATGCTAGGTAAAAAATAACTAAGGTCTGTGAAGAAACCTGGCAAATCTGTCCAGAAGATAATTTGTAAATCCTTCTAAGGTTAGTTTCATAAGAGTGGAAGAGAGAAAAACAACTTGAAGAAAGTTAAACAAAGAGGAAAAAGAAAGCAAAAGAACCTTCTAAAGGATAGAACAGATTAAACACTTTAGGGACAGAAACTACAGAAAGGATGAGAAATGAAGACATATAAGAAAGTGATAGAACCAGAGACACAGGGTGTCTTATGAGAGTGGAGAGGACAGATGTAGGGAAGGAGGCCAAGTGATGAAAAATCACAATAGATTGTTAGCTTTATGCTCAAAAGAAATACTTGGTAACAATTGGAAGAAAAGGAATGAAATGATGTTGAATTTTATGTGGCAGAGGACAGGACAGTGATAACCTATTGCACAGTAAAGTTTCTGGTGGTCAGGGTTTTATTACCAGTAGAATTATTTGCTAGTCCTCATAACTAGCAAAAGAAAAAAATATGCAAAGTATCTGTTCTGTTCATGATTCAACTATTCCTTGATGGAATATGAGTTGATGTGTTACGAAATTTCCATTTATTTTCGAATATAAACCATCCTGGACAAGACAACAGCATACCTGTTAAAGCAGTGGTGGGCCGTGGACCACCAGTGGGCCACAAGGACAAAAATGTGGTCCACGAGTCTCCTTCCTATTTATTTATTTTATTTCCGCTCCTTTCGTGCTGCTTGCCACTCCTTCCCTGTCGCTGACCATGGCATATATTCTGTATCAGAAACAAGAGCTGATGTGGTCTATCCAATGCAATTTTCTGAATCAGCACCCCAAACTGAATCTAAAGTTGACCAAAACCTGATTTGTAACCCTTTTGGTACTAATGTTGGAGAGTGGTCCCTCGTCAAGTGGTCCCTAGTCAAGTAGTCCCTGGTCAAGGTGGTTCCTGGTCAAAGCGGTCCCTTATCAAGTGGTCCCTGGTCAAAAAAAGGTTGGGAACCACTGTGTCAAAGGAAAGGGAATTTATTCCTAACAGTGTAGATACAAAACAAATGCTTAAAGTCTAATTCATTACATCTTTATTGAAAAAGTACAGTTGAATGCTATTGTGCAACATATACATATATTTTATGCATGACATATATCTGGGTCTTAAATGTCCCAAAGAAATAGGATCAGGACTGCTATATTAATTACAGAACTTGTTCTATACAAAGAAAAACATGTTTCACAAACTAAAGAAATATTTTGAATTATTTTCCAGAAAATTACATGATTGTTTTAGACGTGATATGCTTAGTCGGACATTGGAATGTTAATGAGAAATCACAGATCATCCACTCTCTTTCAGTTCACTAATCAAAACAAAAACAATTACACATAGTTTATTTAAAGAATTCCTACACAGTACCTTCATCTTTTATTCAAATGACAAAACATTGGTTTGGTAAACATTTATGCAATCATCTTCTAGTTATTTTTCTTTTTTTTTTACCTGGAGTGCACAAATTACTTAAAAGAGGGTAGGTTTGGCACTTTTATACTGATGTCACCAATATTAATATTTCTTGGGATCTCTGGAAGGTTCATATTCTTTACAGCTGAAACTGCCCGGGCTGGGGCTCCTGCTAAACCAGCCTGTATACAGAAGAAAAAGATTCTGCTAAAAGGATGTCCAGTGTAATCAACAATGTGCTACTAAGATATAGCTTTACTACAATACATCTTATAAGAAAGACATCAACACTAAGGTTAGAAAAACAGATGACATTTTGGGTTGGGATGAAATGAGATTATTCGGAAATATTTAACCAGAACAAGAGAAAAAAAGTAGTTCACACATTCTCTAAAATATGGTTAACACATGCAATGGCAGCTTGATGAAAAAAAATTAACATGTAGTCTGTAAAACAACCAGACTGAGATTAAACATAAGGAAAGGCTCATGCTGACTTTGATTTCTACTGTTTCCAGGTTGCCTACATAAAGTATACCTGCCCCTAGCCTGGACTTGTACCATCTTAAAGCCATTGTGTTTAATCAGATGCCAAAATTGTATTACCATATATACTCAGGTATAAGCTGACCCTAATATAAGTCAAGGCACTTAATTTTACCACAGAAAATTGGGAAAACCTATTGACTCGAGTGTAAGCCAAGGATGGGAAATGCAGTAGCTACTGGTAAATTTCAAAATAAAAATAGATACCAATAAAATTACATTAATTGAGGCATCAGTAGGTTAAATGTTTTGGAATATTTACATAAAACTGTAATTTAAGATAAGACTATCCAACTCTGATTAAACCTTTATTCTAACTTTCTTCAATGTTAATGTGCTTACGTATGCTTCCAGTAATGAGTAAAATAATAAATACAACAATAATAATAACAATAATAATAATAGAGTAAAATAATGGAAATGTAACAATAAAAATAAAAATAAATAGAGTAATATAATAAATGTAATAATAAATGTAGTAATAATAATAATAATAATAATAATAATAATAATAATAATAATGTAAAATGATAAATAACTTTGACTCAAGTATAAGCCGAGGGGGGCTTTTTCAGCCTAAAAGGGGGCTGAAAAACTCATCTTATACTCGAGTATATATGGTACATAAAAAAGCAAAGTTTTAACATTGGTTATTTAATGCCTATTTAATGCCTATTGTCTTACATGCTTTACGGAGGTGAACGGTGCATTCTCTTTAGATCTTTTCCCCATGCCATCTAGTACAAGGGACTTTCCAAGAAAGAAACACTGAAAAACCTCAAAAGCTTATATACTAGACAGTGTTTTAAAATTATCTGAGTCTGCAAATAAAGAAGGCATACATTAAGTGTTTTCTTGGATAAGTTAAAGATAGACAAAAAGACACCTGAGTTTCCCACCTCCATCTTAGATCTGTTCTTTAGATTTAGAGGGGGAAATGCTCCAGAGTCTAAATTTATTAGATTGTTGTTGTTTATTTGTTGAGTTGTTCCTGACTCTTTGTAATTTCATGGACCAGCCCACGCCAGAGCTCCCTGTCGGCTGTCGCCACCCCCAACTCCTTCAATGTCAAGCCAGTCACTTCAAGGATACCATCCATCCATCTTGCCCTTGGTTAGCCCCTCTTCCTTTTTCCTTCCATTTTCCCCAGCATCATTGTCTTCTCTAAGCTTTCTTGTCTTCTCATTATGTGGCCAAAGTACTTCATCTTTGCCTCTAAATATTCTTCCCTCCAGTGAGCAGAAATTTATTAGATTGATAATCTCAAATGTAAAATACTTCTCACACCGTCAATCCCCTTTTGGTCTTATGAACCTCACTAGATTATAAATCACATGCCCTACGTTTCTAGGAAGTAAAGGGATTTTCCTTTCAAAACTATCATTTTGAGAACACAAAGACAAAAGACAACCAAATATATCTGACACTAAGCTAGTATTTAGGCTAGGAAACATATGACACAAAAGTATTGTAAAGCCAGAACATTCAAGGGTCTTTTTTTGTATTTTTCCTGGAATCCTGAGAATTTCAATATTCACTAAAATAAATTGCTAGGTTTAGCAATTTATTTTATATTTAGCGAAATTTTTGAAAACATGTACAAATGCTAAAGCAAAAGATCATTAACGTTTTCTTCCAATTGTTACCAAGTATTTCTTTTGAGCATAAAGCTAATAATCTATTGTGATTTTTCATCACTTGACCTCCTTCCCTACATCTATCCTCTCCACTCTCATAAGACACCCTGTGTCTCTGGTTCTATCACTTTCTTATATGTCTTCATTTCTCATCCTTTCTGTAGTTTCTGTCCCTAAAGTGTTTAATCTGTTCTGTCCTTTAGAAGGTTCTTTTGCTCTTTCTTTTTCCTCTTTGTTTAACTTTCTTCAAGTTGTTTTTCTCTCTTCCACTAAATATATTATAAATATATTTCTATTACTTGTAGTTTGCTCTCTGGCACTTAAAATATGCAAATAATCCTATAAATTCAATTATATACTTTTAAAAGTCAGAGATCAGCTACAGATCTACAAATAGATTATACCCGCACTTGTCCATGATTTTAAGCAATGTTTATTTACTATTTTGCCACCATTGTCTCTTCTGTTAAATAGCAATACTGTATATAACACACTTTATGGGAGATCAAAGAACTTGGTACTGAATAGTTTTGGACCTTTTCACCCCCAGCTGCATTCTTGTATTTTGAAATAATGGATTCCAGAGGTTAACCAGGATTATGCAGGATTTTGAGTCTCTTCAAACAAAACTGTCTAGATTGCATAATCATTTCACTTACAGGCAGAGCAATCCAAGGGAGGGATAGGAAAGCCTGTAATGGACAAACCACAACTTCAAGAACAAATGTCTTACTCTTTAAAAAGTTTGTTACAGATTTTACTCAATTTGGCAGTAATCGGCTACAAGCCATTTCAAGTGAACTAAATGCTTTAAATGGAGTTGCTTGAATTTTAATCACACAAATTCTCAACATATTCCAGTAACATAATGTTCAGTAATTAAGAAGGATATTTGGCCCACATGCAGCCCATGGGGTTTCTGTTGTCTATCCCTGTCTTACATTGTCCTAGAATATTTGGATTACATTTTGTTTCAAAGAATAATCCACTGCATGCTTTCTCTTGAGTTTTTGTAGCAATGAGAAAGTTCATAGAACCATGAAATCATAGATTTGAAAGGGTCATTTAGTTCAAACCACTGCTATGCAGGAATACACAATCCGAGCACTCCTGACAGATAGTCTGTTTAAAAACTTCCCAAAAAGAAGATTCAGTGCTTTGAGGCAGCAGATTATTCAACTGCCGGACATGTACAGAGTTAAATAAATATGAAGAATTGCTAAGTAAACTAAAAAACAAGAAATATCTGGGGAAAGGATTAACTGGGAAAATATATAATGGATTAATAGGCGAGGATATAGAGTTGAAGTTGTTAGAAAAGGTATGGGAAGGAGACCTAGGGCCTCTGATGGATCAAGAATGGAAAAGGGTTCTAAAGTGGAGCGTGGTTAAGAATCTGTCAACAAGATTAAAAGAAAACTTGTATAAAGTCATAAAGAGATGGTATACCACACCGGTTAAATTACACCAGATGGATAGGAAGCAAAGTAACCTCTGCTGGAAATATGGCATGCACAAAGGGGCATATTTCCATTTATGGTGGGAATGCCCACAGCTGAAGAGCTTTTGGAACAATATATTTATTGAAATAAGTAACGTTATAGAATTAAACATTGTCCCAGATGCTAGGTTAGCATTACTAATGGATGCCACAAAGCTGAACTTAGAAATGAAAAAAAAAAAAAGAACTAGTGATTATTTTACACAGTAGCGAGACATAATTGCATGGAATTGGCAGATAGTAACCAATCTCATGCTGGAAGCATGGTATGCGGAGATATGGAACGTTGCCTTAAATGATAAAATATCAATGGAAATGAGGATGTTCAGGTGGGAAATTAAAAGATCAGAATTTGATTCATACTAGTCGGATTTCATTAAATATATTTTAGAGAGTGATAAGGGAAAGCAATACAACCTTGTTGGTCAGAAATTCTGGGTTTGACATTTGTTTACTAGTTGTCTCATAAATTTATGGCAAATGAAATGATACTTGTTCAGACCTTGGTGGCGGGATTATGTGTTTGTAAAATGTTCATTGCTTTGTGTTCTATTTACACTGTGTGGATTTGCTCTTTGATATAAATATTAAAAACCTTTCTCTGCTTAATCTATAATATTTCTAAATATCCTATAGTTTTAAAAATTATCCAGGTTAAGAAAACAAATGCTTATTTGAATGCCAATGAACTTTCTATAAAGAAAGTTATTGGAAAGGACTGTACATTCCCACCTTTTTCCTAATCAGCTCTGCTTGAAGACAGGACACATTGAGTCAGCAAGTTTAGCTTCTGAGTAAACATACTTAGGATTGGCTTGTTAGTTAAGAACCATGTTAGGAAAAAAATACGAATGCTTTTTCGTTTTTATCTTCTGCTACTAAAATTATTTTTCCAAAAGCAACTTTGACATTTTAAATACACTCAACTAAATAAATACACATTTTTGGCAAGGACAATTTAGTCCTTACAAGTTTCCTTTACAAAAGTGCATAAAAGCAACATAACACTGCCTAGATTTAACTGGAAGCGATAAACAAAGGAAAATATCTACCTTTTAATATGGGAAGGAATGCATATTTAAGACTATCTAGGTCCTCCAGCATTATGGTTAACTTCTGCTGGAGCTTGACCATATAATGTTTCAATGAAACCTATAAATAAATCTACAAAAGTCAAACTTGTAATTATGGAGGGCCAACTGTGGTGCTTTTGCAGCATTTGACACTTCTGGCCCTATAGTCAGTTTTAGGGGCCGGGGGAGCTATTTTCCAGAAAATATAGGAAGACCCTTGTTTATATAATGCCATATATAAACAAGAAAGCCAGAATCTCCTTTATATATATTATTTTACTACTAAGCTTCAAAAAAGTATAATCTATTGTAAGGTGGAGGATTTCCCACCCGCATTTCATTTTCTCTATAAACCTCTAGATGAGGGCTGGAAAACTCTTCAGATTCTATTTTCAATACTAGAAAGATCTATAGACCAAAAAAAC